TCTCTATTACACAGGTGAGAGGAAGCTAAATAAAATTTGAAAGGCTGTATTTAAAGTCTCAGAATTTTACTCAGTCAAGGAAGCATGTTTCTCTTTCTTCCAAAATAAGATATTACATCAAAGATTACTTCCCTTTGTCCTAAAAAAAAAAAAAAAAAAAAAAAAAAAGGGGGGGCAGGGGACGGGGCAAATTCTAATAAAAGCACAAGAATCACCATTGCTTTTCTCCATTGTTTTGTTTTGTTTTTTCTTTTATATAGTAATAAAGAAAAAGGATGGATGTAAGAAAGGTGCACAATTATGAAAGTAATTAAATAAAAAATATAATCAGAGAAATTTCATGTCATTTTAAAACTGCAAGAGTTTAGATTACTAAACACAGATCATATATTGCTATACTGCAATCTATTGCAAACCAGAAGTAACACCTGAGCATTCAGGATTATCTGGGCAATATACTCACTAGTGTTTGGGAAGGAAGACAGATTTTCCATACTAACAACCTTCCCATTAAAAGTGGAGTTAATCTAAACTCCCAGTATCTATTTTTGGGAAAATAGCCTGCATGTCCTGACTCTGGGGCAGCCTATCATTATTGCTTTTGGATGTCACGAAAGTTTGTTCTGTGATTCAGGTTGGAATTTTAGGAATCTTATTAGTACAACGCAGGAGGTTAAAAGCTCAAGAAGCCAATTTTAAGCAACAGACCCAAAGACCTCAAGCAGCTATTACGTAAAAGATAAAAATACCAATTTTGCCAAGCTACTGGAGGGTTCCAGGAAACGCCATGCATTTCTAAAACAAAATTTTGGTGTAACTGGTTTAAAGTAAGTTTCAGAAGTTTAGGTCAAAACCAGATTTGAAATCACATTTCAGAAAACAATATTCCCATCAATTTTATCTACACTAAGACACTGAATCAGTGCACAGGGCAAACATGCAGCTGGAGACTAAAATGCCATTTAACTGAATACACATATCAGGCTGTTCCAACCATTTATCAGACTTACAAAGACAAAACAAGATATTACCTAGTCTCAGAACCTTTTCATGCTTGAATTAAATTTAAAAAAAAAAAAATCATATTTCCAGTTTACTTAAAATTTGGTTTGGGGAATCTTCTTCAACCACTGAGCTGCCACTCAGTTGGCCAGAGCTTCACAGGACTTGTTGCAAGACATAGTTCATCCTCATAAGCCATGCAGGAAGCAGAAGCTATTTCAGAGAAGTTTATTACACTGTTATGGTAAGATGCTATATGCTTGCTGATCTTGATATTGGTTAATCATCAAATAACAATTTTACTGTGTTGAGTACTGCACAAGGACACTGAGAGGTGAACAACTCTCAGAAGTTCACAGTTTTAACAAACTTGATGTACCACATGCTCCCTTCACCCCCGCCCAAATCAGCAATGTGATAAAGCCTACATCATATTAAGGTTAACCTACCAGACAGCAGAAGAAAGAAGAAGAAAAAGGGAAGAGATGGCAGGAAGGTGAAAAAGATTGGCTTTTCATAATCTTCAGTAAAAAATTTTCTCTCCCTCTTCACACTGTTTTTTTCCCCTCATAAATCAATACTCGTTTTCCAAATCCAGAACAGAAACTGCTCAGATTGAAGCCATTCTAGAAAAAGTTGATTCATAGCCATCTCCTACAGTTGTAACTGCCTGGTCATGTGCCGTACCATAACAGAAGTCACCAAATCTCAAGTCAAAAAGCGCCTGCAAATCCTCTTCAACTAATCTGAAAATCACGGTTCAAGATTCCTTCTATGGAGACTGACAGTGTGACAGCTTACAGTGAAGATGTGAGAGCTTAAGTCTGACTACCTGTGAGAATTCCCAGGGCTTTCTGAAAAAGCACATGGCACACAAGCCCTGCAAAAATTTCCTGTTATGGCACTTTATGTATTACCAGGACAGTGAATCAAAAGACAGAGCAAAAAAATGAGCATGCACCAGTTAATGGAACAGTGACAGAAGGCTTCCTGGGAAGCAAGGATTCAGCACGTGTAGTGGTTGCTCTGGAAGATGAAAATGCCCCCCTTCTGTCTCCCTTTACTTAGCTTTTATATCTGAGCTGATGTCATATGGTATGGAATATCTGTTTGGTTGGTTTAGGTCAGCTGTCCTGGCTATGTCCCCTCCCAAGATCTTGCCCAGCCCCAGCCTGCCATTGGGGGGGGTGTGTGTGTGTGTGTGTGTGTGTGCAAAAATGTTGGAGAGACAGCCTTGATGCTGTGCCAGCACTGCTCAGCAGTAGCCAAAACACTGGTGTGTTATCAACACCCTTCTAGCTACTGATGCAGAGCACAGCACTACGAGGGCTGCTATGGGGAGAATTAACTCCATCTCAGCCAGACCCAATACAGCAATCTGTATAGTAAGTATTTTTTCCTGAGAAAGTTAAAGAGAGTAATTAACACTACACTACTTCACATATTTTACTCTATTTATTTGAAGTCATATATAAATTATTGCATCTGTGAACATATATTCCTCATTAAGTTACATTATGCAAACTTGGGAATAAAGTTTACTTCCACAGCAGAACTCTGGGAATGGGAAGCAGTGGGAAGACTTACATGCTATTACCTCACCTTGGGAGTCTATGGAACATAGAGCATTACAGATGCAAAAAGCAAGAAACATTTAATAGTCAGGAATACAGTAACTCCAAATTAATTTACTTAATATCAACATTACTACAAAGTTCCTTGATTTGCTAACACAATGATGCACTTAGGGCTTTACTTTCAAGCTATTCCTTTATCTACTTACTTGAAAATGCATGAGAAAGCACACACATACTTGTTTCTCTTACCAGGCATGTAACATACCATATCATGAGAATACAAAGTATCACACAAAACCGGTATTCTTACATTTACATAAATCCTCAAAGCCTATCTTGAAATGCTGATTACAAAGGGGTCAAGTTTGTGCTCCAAAATGCTGAACCCTCAAAGAGGAGGTTTTTGTCATCTCTGTTTGAACACAGTCTTCAGATGTAGAGACAAACAAAAACCTAACAAAACTCCACCATGCAGGAAGTGTCGAAGCACCTGAAACCATCGAAATCAGTGGGACATTTTGCCAGCAACTTGACAAAATTCTGAACATTTTTCTGGTACAAACTATGCTCAAAGGGATAACATCATAACTCATGAATATAGAAAGTGTGTATTAATGACTTTTCTACTTACTGCTTACAAAAATACACTAAACCAGATAAGAGTTTAGGAAGGAAGTAAAGCACTCAAATATTAAAACCCCAGACTTAACCATAACATGCTTGCTTCTTCATCCTGCCTGTAACTATGTAATTACATACTGTTCTCATAGAGGAAACTCAATGTATAGCATGGACAGTACTTCAGGAAATGAATCAGCTGTGAAACAAGTCTTCAACCATACATGTTTATGGACACTGCATCTGACCAAGTCATGAGAAATGTTCAGCACCCAACCCTAATGGTATAAAACCTTTTGTGCAATCAGTATGCAATTAAAATACCAAGTGTGGAAGCAACAATGGGAAACATACTTGAAGGTAACAATAGGGCTTTGTAAAATACCTCTTAGAAAAGTAGGAAAAAAATTTGCATCTAGAAACAAAGATACTACGCTTAAGTTCCAAAACCTTTCACTTTAGCAGGAACACCAGAGATATCAGAGGAACTCTTCAGAAATGGTTAAGATATCACCAGTTAAATACTGGGAAAAATGACATCAATCCTCTTCATCCCTTCCAATGCAAAGTCAAAGTTTGTAGACAGATGGGGAAAAAAAGATACAGTTATGCTTTCAAGTTCTGACGATGCACCTGCTAAGGTTAGACTATCCTCAACTGGGCAATATGAAAGACTTTTGGTACTTTAACCACAGGTCACAGCTCCTAAGGTGAGGAGCTTCAGAAGCAGAGTACAGTGACTATCACAGTCAGCAGCTGGACAGAACTGTAAGAAACTCTGACCTACACAAGAATGCCTGGCTTACATGTAAAGGTAGGCCACAAAGAAAGAGAAGAACATGCAGCTTGTGAGAAAGTACTAACTTCAAGTTTGTGTAGCAAGACAGACTGTTGCCTAAAACAGCCTAAATTTATTTGCTTTTAGAACTGGAATCATATAATAAACAGAGCAGAGGACTATACAAAGGGAATAAAAAAAAGCCGCATTTTAAACTGCTGGATGCCACCCTTAAGAAGTGGATTCTGGCCTTGTTTCACACACAATTTCATGCAAAGGTAAACAAGTCATTTCAGACCACTTTTCACAAGCAATCAGTAACATTGTTCCTGTTTCCAGAATATTTAGGCTTTCTCCTTTTATTAAGTTATTGACATTCCCTCAATTACTAACCAAAGGGCACAAAAATATCAAGTTCTCTGAAAAGTAAGTCAGAAGCACTCGGGCAGCACATAGTACTATTTCACAGCCTCTCTAGATTGCAATTCAGTAAGGTATTAGAAAGCTGGATTAAACTGTTAACTGTTTTCACTAAACAAAGAGACTGTATCAAAACACTTAATGCAAACAGCCTCACAATTTTCCTTTAGCCAATCCATTCTACGGCACGTTTGCAGAAAGACTGAATAGTAAAATTTCAAAAGCAAGCCTCAAACAAACTGCATTAAAGTTGATGGGAAAGGAAGTTCCAGATCCAACATTTACTGACAAAAAGCAGTAATTCTCTCAGTATTACTACACAGGTGTATTGTTTACAATTTAGACTAAACTCTACATTACGCATGTTAAAAAATAAAAATATTCCCGTAAGGATAACCCAGGCTAATTTCACTCTTGTAACATGGCCTAATATACCTTTTATAGGGCAAGCTAGTCTGTAATAGCACGGTTGGTGCGCCGTACTCAACTCATTCACATGGAACACAACGTGGGGTTTTAATGAGTTGAAAAGATGAGAATGCAGACAGCTCACAAGATGGTGAGCTTATCAAGACTGACTTTCTTTCACGACCTTGAAACGAAGGTTCTTTGCCCCTTTTTCCTTTTGTTGCTTTACCTGCTTCAACTGCTACCTTGGAAAAGCCCTAAATTTCATTTTACCACTAGGTAGCTCTAGAAACTGAAATTCATACAGCCTAGCTAAAAAACCACTTAAAATATACAAAGCCTAAACATATAAAAGGTCTTGGCTGTCCTTTACATACTACCATTTTAGATTTCATAATTAAAGAAATCGCATGCAAAATAGCAAACAAACCAAAGCTAGTATTTTAGTAGAGGACTATATACTTCAATTCTCAGATAAGAAGTCAAGCACAAGCCACAACTCTTACAGCCTAATTCCCTTTTGCTGCAAATCAAACAGGGTATCACTTTTTCTACCCTCTGTGGCCCCAAGAGAACATACGATGATATTTTTCTTGCCTGAAATATTTTAACATCCTAAAGTCTCCCTCTTGCCAGCCTTGTTCTAAACTTAAACTTGGTTCCTTCAAATTTCGTCATGCACCAGCATTCTTGCTCTACCTTCAAGTGTAATATCAAAACCAGATAGAACTAAAGCTCCACAAGTGCTGAGTAGTACCCAACAACCACCCCTTGTATGTTAAATAGAACGTTCCTATGTTTATATCTGAGCATGACTTTTACCCTTTTTCCTGCAGTGCCAGATCACGTAAACTAACTAGTTCGACCTACTATGCTTCCAAAATTACTTTCTACAGTACTACTACCTCATCAGTTTTGTATTTACAGACTTGATTTCCCTGTCTTTGGTAAAAAGTAACGCATTCCCATTAGTCTTGCTGTTTTTTGACACTTTTCCAGTTTAGAGACAAGGACCAGAATCCATAAGTCATCTTGATAAAGTAATCGCAAGATCAAAATCTTGTATAAGTGCATCCTGCTCATGACTGTCAGATTCCATTCATGTCCTCCTTGTAATCTGACTAATCATTGAAAACTACCAGCCACTTATTTCTCAATGAGCTATGTATTCACAGTGATTTCACTTAGAAAATGCTTCCCCCCTCTTAATGACCTCCTTTTCTTTTTCAGTAGAAAGAGAAGCTGTAACAGTGGATCTCATTTTTCTCGCAATAGCAGAACCCTTAGAACAGAGAATTTAAAATTGTTTTATCCCTTGCCATCCGTCCAACTCTTCAGTTTCAGAGCTAGAAAAAAAACATTCCACCTTCCGCAGTCAGCAGTAATGCAAGGATATCCGACTCCGGAGACTACTGTTACAATTCTCAAGCTCAACAGCTTTACTTTTGTGCCAGCTGCTGAGCCGTCTAACCAGGGTACATCCCCTGGACCTGCAAAACCACCATCCCGACTACCATGAAACACTGCCGACTACTGAGATCCTCACAGACACGCCTCAAGAGGTGTACACTGTTTACAGGCTGGGACCAGGCTCCTCGCTTGCCCGAATTAGCCACTACTACCAGGAAGCAAAGTTGTCCCTCAATAGGAATGTGGTATTTCTTGTCTTTATCACCCCTTCCACTCTACTCCACTGAATGAGTCTGTGACATTATTAAAAATGAAACAAACACGTATCGCAGCCATGAGTGTGACATGACATCAGGGAACTGCGTCTGCCCTGAAGACATTTTGGAAGGAAGAGGCAGATTTCCGTGAGAAAGACACCGACCCACACCGCACACAGAGCCTCCTTCGCCGCTGCCGAATCGCTCCGGGAGCTTTCGGCTCGGGAGAGCTGCGCCAAAGCGAGGAGAGGGCGAGCGACCGGCGAGCGGCGCCTGCCGAGCCGCCCCCCTCCTCACCCCCTCTCCCTCCGAGCCGCCCCGGCCCCGCTCCGCAGCCCCCTCCGAGAGAAAACCCTACCCCGAGCAGCTCCGCAGACGGAGCCCGTCCGCCTACCGGCCCCCGCGCCGGCTCGTACCCTCCGAGTCTCCTCACAACCTGGGAGAGCCGACCGCAGCACGGCTGCCCGCGACAGACCCCAGCCCCACCCCCCCGGCTCTCTTTCCCCTCACGGCTGCCCCCGAGCCCGCGGCCGGCTCCGCGCTTACTTGAGGTGGTCCAAGGAGTGGATGCTGCGGGCGGCCTTCCCGTGCCCGCCGCCCACCCAGCTCCGGGAGCGCCCGAACATGCTGGCGGCGAACGGCTGCTACGGCCCGGGGAGGGGGGCTCTAGGGCTTCATAGCCCCGCGGGGACGGGCGGGCGAGGAGCGAGCGGCGCCCGGGCGGGCGGAGACCGAGAAGGAGCCCCGACAGCCGCGGCCACCGGCGCACACAAGCGCCAAGGCGCATGCGCGGCCGGGGCACGCTGGGAAGGGAGGCTCCCCCCCCCCCCCCCCCC